ATTCGTAATTCGTTTGAAAACTTGCTTGACTTACAAAATTCTTAGTGTGTGAATATTTGAGAGACTTTTCCGAGCGTATGGAAGGTACCGAAGAAGGTATGCAATTGGCTATACCAGCACCGCGCTGTACGGACGATGGCAACTATTTAGAGCGTCAGTGTACGATGAAGAAAATTCGAGTTACACGCGCTGAGCAACGCCAGATTCTCGAGGAGAACACAATAAGACGGATGCGAATGCTGCTGAAGAGTGCGACTGAAAGGCAAATTCGTGAGAAACGACAAGTGGAACGCTTGAAATTGTACCGCGTTAACGACGACGCGCTAAAAGTGCACATTGCCGCCCCCATACAGAGTCGTAATGCCAAAGTGATTGATGTTGGAGCGGATCGAGCACAAAGTTTGGGTCAACTCTTTGAAGTGGAGTTTAAAAAAGCTATGCCAGCACCAAAACAGTCTTTATTGGACAATGAATTGGTGGACATCGAAGTAGAGGAATGCTGGTGTGTCGACAGTTTTGGCACTGAAATACCAAGTACCCGAAGCTATAATTTGACCGACACCGAATGTGGTAGAATACGCGAATCCATTGACTGTTTAGATCTGACTTGCCGTATGGGATGTGAGTATGGTTTTACACTGGATCCCAACACACGGTGCCCAGCATGTCAATGTCGTGATCCATGCGATGGTGTTGTTTGTGGCGATGGAAAGGAGTGTCGCATTGTCGATGTGTCTTGTGACGAAGAGTACTGTCCACCAGTGCCCGCTTGCTTACCACGCAAGCCCGGTCAATGCCCATTCCTCGTGCCACCAGGTCCCGACAATTTGGACGCCAATACTTGTGCTTATGAATGTCGTACCGACTCCCACTGTGAGGGTCATAAACGTTGCTGCTCAAATGGCTGTGGTACGCAATGCGTACTTCCGCAAATGAAAACGGCTTGCCAGCATCTAAATACAATACAGATGCACCAATCCTCCGAACTTGGTATTCCGGCAATGAAAATGCATATTGCACAGTGTGACGCACGTACCGGCAAATGGAACGAAAAGCAGTGTTCACCCGATGGGTACTGTTGGTGCGTTGACGACATTGGTTGGGTGTTGGCTGGTACACGAGTCAAAGGATCAACGCCGGTTTGTATGAGGAACTCCACGTTTGCGTGCGCAGAAACACAGTGTGATAAGAAGTGTGAGGCGGGCTATAAAATCGATGAAAACGGTTGTCCAATATGTGAATGTAGAGATTTTTGCGATGAGATTAGTTGCGCCAATAGTGAGGAGTGTCAACTGATCAMCGTTGAGTGTATTGATACACCGTGCCCGAAAATGCCGATATGTGTTCCGCGCAGGATATCTGTCTGTCCCGAAGGCAATCCACTGAAACAGGGCGATCTTGAGGTGAGTTGCGGGCCGCACTATGACAACGCCGCTTGCCCCACGACACACACGTGCCAATTGAACCCGGTGACACATCGCGGTGTTTGCTGTTCGAAAACAAGTATGTATGTAATAATTTTAGATATTGTAAGTAAATTGAGTGTGTGCAAAGAATATTGGCTGACTACTAAATAAACTTAAAATTTTGCAGGAGATGTGTGCTTTGAATCTATGGACAATACTTGTTTGGCAACTATGCAATCTGTACGAAATATAACGCGCTACCGATTCAGTCCGAAGTCAAATAAATGTTTAACCGTCACTATAGATCTAGACGCGAGCAATTGTCAAACCAAGAATCTATTTCACAGCGAAATAGCCTGCAATTCAGTATGCCCAGGTAAGTGCCTTAGTTATATGTGCATCTAAGAATACAATATTTTAAGCAAGGCTATTATAGACTTCTAATGTGTCTTTTATCTCCTACTTTTAGTCTTAACATCGTGTGAACGTCTCAAGTTGAAGAACAGCTTGGCTGCTCAGCATACGGGATACTCATCTGTCTGGTTTCAGCCACGTTGTGATCCCATCACCGGCCATTGGAGTCCAGTGCAATGCTTGGGGGCACAGCCGTCACTCCAGAAAGAGTCCACAACATTAGCGAACGACTTGGACCATGCAAGCAAGCAACAACGTACCAGAAAAGCGTTTTCTTCTACGAATGGTGTGTGTTGGTGTGCCGATAAGAAAGGAGCACCGCTCAAAGGTACTTTGACGCGTGACATTGAGCCCATTTGTAATAGTCGACAAGGTCGTCACAGTAAATCATTTAATGTTGACGACCAATTGATGGAGGAAGTGATCCGACAAATGACAACAATGGTCGATATCGAAGAATATGAGTTGGAGGAAAATACTCAAGACAATACCGATGGATTCCAGAGCAACAGAAATGGGGCAGGGCGTAGTTTGGATGACAATATGGCCGTAGAGAGTCAATATTATGAAACTCCAATTAGTGCGCGAACAAAAGCTTCTGCAGTGCCTAACACTGCCGCTGAAGCCTATGTCACTGAGCATATACTTGCATTAGCCAACTCTCTGTTGGACTCTCAGCTTAGTATTGAAGCATTGAAACCCATGCCAGTGAACACGACACGCTGTCGAGCTCTGGCTGAAACTGCAAACTTTCCTGTAGCTTGCGATGAACACGGTGCATTTCTTCCGACCCAGTGTAACAGCAAAACATGTTGGTGTGTTGATGCGGCCGGAAATCAATTAGATACATCCAATATGTTCCAACAAGGCACACGCAATTGTCCGCAGACGCCAATAGCCTCGGTGGCAATTGAATTGCACATGGTCAATCGAACAAACAGAAATATACGCAACGCTTACGACACCATCCGCAGAGAGCTGTATCAATTGCTTGGCGACGCTGTTGAAAACTTACGCGTACAAGAGAATTTCGATGGATCTGTAATCGTACGCTTCGAACTGCATAATGAGGCGAAAATCGACTATGCCTTCGCTATTGAATCGGCTATAAATGCGAATCACTTCAATTTGGTCGGTGGTCATTTCACACCGGATATTTCGCGCTCACACTTCATACACCGAAGCGTAAATCCACCTGTTACAACAGCGGTTTCACATGAAAGCACGATTCAGTTGGTTTTATTCATTATGGTAACCAGTTCGGCGTTTCTAGTCAGTATCTTTGTCGTCTATGTAATGCTTAAACGAGGGAAGCGCAACAAGGTTCTAACCGATCACTATGGCTATCCAGTTTATAACGAAGAAAGTACCACTAAAAACATTGGCGGTGGTGATAAGGCATTGGATTACACGGCACCGATCTTTGTGCTGAGTTCACACGAACATGACTCCTTCAACGCGTCGAAATAGGAAACACTATAATTACTGAAGGAAATGTTTTGTTATTTAATTTTCGAGTATGTGTGGCTCACGTAAGAGCCTCCATGTGAGCGCTTTATTATAAATTAGATAGACATTATCATTTTATGAATAAAAACTAATTTTAAGGATAAATACAAAGGCTTTTTCGATAATAAGGATTTTTAATTTTTTTTTTTCAATAAATCTGACAGTTTTTTATTTCATAATAACAGTATGGAGGGGCCTCGATGTGAAAGAGTTGATAAATATAAAAGATAAATTAATTATTTTCAAGGACCGATACAACTGTGCATAGGTATTGTAGTTGGTACGAAAATAATTATTTTCTCCAAATGTTGTAAATATATTCACCTATACATTATTTACTGTATTTCACGATATCATATACGTATGTATTGTATATATTTGTTATTTTATTGAGTGTATCTGTATTTATTTCTAATTATTTATAAAGTGCTGATAATGTTTAATTTGATTATACTTTTAAGATTTTTTTTTAATAAAACGTAAAAAGCATTGCACGAAAGATTTGTTTATTTTTTTATTTTTAACTGTTACAAAAATCGTTTTGTAAAATTTTATTTCTGTTCTCTKTTGTCAATATAAAATGAGATTCTTTACAATATCTCTTTATATCGTAAATTAAATTTAAATTTTACTGACACTTTATTGTAGGCAGGGAATCAGTTTCAAATTCAAAAATTTTGGAATATATAATAAATAGAATTTTCAATTCTTAATTATAATTTTTGGATTAAAAATTCAATTTTCAAATTGAAAATTCAATTATAATAATAATTAAAAGTTATTTAATTATAAATTTTCAATAAAAATTATATTAATTAATAATAATTTGTAGTTAATTAATTTGAAAATATGAATGAATTAACTTCATTAATATTTAATAATAATTTTAACTAATAATTAATTTCAATTAATAATTATTAACTTCAATATATTATTAATTAAAATTTTAATTTATATAATTTTTCATTTTCTTAATTGAAAATTTAAATTTTAATCCCAAAATTGGAATCAAAAATTTAAAATATAATTTATGTTCCCAAAATTTTTAACTGCAAAGCTCGCAATCCTGCTTATAGTTGATTTTCTTTATTAGACTTCAAACACTCTAATTACCATGAAAACTGAACCGGAAAAGGACGCGTTTAAAACGTAAAAACGGACATMCATTTGGGAAACTTTAAAAATGTATTGTAATAAAATAAAATAAATATACATTAATATGTTAAAAGCTGCAAAGAGATATTATTTTCTATTGAACTATCGGACCAAATTTGCCTGGTGAATAACCAGCATTAACAGGTTTAAGATTTACGAGCGTTTGCTGGTAATCAACCAAACGAATTCTTTCCCTCTCATATTCCCAGTTTTAAAACTTGTAAATATAAACAATATTTATTAGATAAAATAATATTTATTTAGATTTAGTAAATTTATATTACAATAATTTGGCTTTTAAATATGCAAAACTCGTAAACTTTCGTGACCGTTTGCGAAACACATATGTATGTTGTTGTTTTTTTTTTTTGTTTTTTTTTTGTAAAAATTCTTAATAGTATTGACAATATTTCATTTAAAATATTTCATAAAATGGTAGTCAATTTGTGAACTTGCAATACAGCTTTGTAAAAATGTTGTATTATATTTGCTGCAAAATATTATTACTTTTATACTGTTTCAGCATTCCATTTTAAATGTATGATTCATTCTTATTCCATAATACTTAATACGGTTGGACTGAAAACGAACTTTTTTGGGTACGTTTAGGCATGCATGCATGTAACAACTAGCCATGGTCAAAAATATTGTGCAATGTTTTATGTTTGTATGAGTAAATGTTTGAATAAGTAAATGCTACTAGTGCCTGCAATCGGGCCTATTTTTTTAAATKCAAGGTAATTTATGGAATATTACATTTTTTGTGAGTATGGATATTTTGTGAGTTAAAAATTAAATGAAGATTAATTTTGAGATATGCAACCATTCAAACAAATGTATGTTTTCGCAAATCTATTGTAGGTAGCAATATAATAAAATGTGCTTTTGAATGTGATAGTGATATCTTCATACAAAAAGAACACTATTGTATGAAAATGGGAATATGTTGTATGTGTATCAGTAAAATATCTGATATATACCATCTTCTAGAGATATTAATCTTTGTATTGCCTGCTTCAAAATGATTGCTCTTGAAATGCATTAACGATTTGATCATGGAAAATTGAAAAAAWATTAACTTACTTCGAGAGATACCGAACTTAAAATTTTATAAAATAACGTGTTACGCATATATAATAAAAAGAGAGAAATGTAAGAAATTAACGCATCAGAAATCGTGATGAAAATGTGYTTTACGAATAACTTCCACCATGTTGCGTACATATGTATGTATGTATAGTAGCATTTACTGTTTACTCTGATTATTAGCGTTATTATTGATCTTCTCGCCAGTACCACTTGCGGTTCCGCCATTACTTGCATTGCGTTGAGGAAACCCACCAAAACCAGGTATTGCTGCCCTTTGATCCTCCATTCGGCCACTCTGTACCTTCATTATCAGCGAGAAGAAATCCTCATCAGGCACTGTAGTGCCACCAGCGCCACCACTTCCTACTGCAGAGCGACCACCTGCAACGGCATTAGCACGTGTCGGTGCCTCAACGTCCATGGTGACATTCGATCGTGGTAGYTCAGAACGTTGTTCTTCTAATCGGGAGCCTTGACAGCGTACCAACATTTCCAAAAAGTCATCGTCAGGTTGTTGAGTAGTTGTAGCACTGCGTGCTAGCTGTCCATGCCCATGGTTGTGGCCGGAATTGGTGCCAGGAGCGGCATCACTAAATGGCTTAACACTAATTGCAACACTTCCATCCCCACCATTACCGCTGAATATGGAGTTTTGCTGTGCTAACGGCTTACGTGTGGCGCCCGAACTAGATGTGAGCGCAGGTGCTCCACCTGCCAATAGGGCTGATGTATTTGGTGGATTTCTAGCAATTTTAATTGAACAACGTTGGTCATCCATTCGTTTTGATTGTGAGCGTGATAAAAGATCGAAAAAGTCTTCATCCTGTGCCTTAGATTTTGAGCCAATTCCTTTTGGAACGCGTTTATCATCTAATATATTACTTTGACTCGCGTGTTTTCCATCTGGAGTTATTTTAATTAAATCTAATTGTTCCATGCTTTGACGCCTTACACGAACCTGAAAAATGTATATATATTGTTTGTAATCATGAAATCTTATGGTAGGAAATCTGTAAACAACATACCATACGACTTTGTGTACTGCCTGARCTGTCGGAACGTTGATCAATTATGGCTGAAACATCTGATGCAATCGAGCGTTCTTCACAGTCAATTGGTGAATCAGGTAATCCAAGCAATTTTCGCAAGTCAGATATGTTTACTCGGGCTGTACTTTCTCCAATTGGATCTTGCAATTCAACGGCTAGTATAAGATGAGCTTCGGCATACAGCAAAGCTTTTTCATGGTTTCCGATAGCAGAATGTGCATTACCAAGAGACCAACAGGCACGGGCTTCTCCAACACGATCTCCCAGCTCTTGTGCTATGGCTAAGTGACGATGATGGTAGTCAATAGCTGTTGAGAATTCCCGTAGCAGAGTATATGTATTTCCAAGACTGTAACATGCTTGTGCCTCAACTTCGCGCTCTCCAAGTTCGATGGCCAAYGCTAATGTTCTTTTATAATGATCCGCCGCTTCTTCAAATTGCCCCAGGAAAATWTGTGAATTTCCCAAATTACTATTAGCACGGCGTTCAGCGGAGCGATCACCAAATTCCCGTGCAATGCAAAGTCTCTCTTGATGGTGTTCAATAGCAGCTTGAAAATTACCTGCAATCAATAAAAAATATAAAAAAATGTGTTAATAAAATTAATGTCAATACTTTATTTTAAGTAAACATACCTAAAAGGTAATAAGTATTGCCCAAGTTTCCACACGCTCGACCTTGTGCACTACGATCACCCAATTCTCTCATCAACTTTAAATTTTCTTGATAAAATTCAACCGCTTTACTCAATGCCTCGCGTACATCATCTCCGTAGTCGCCAGGATTACCTTGACCCATATGTTTTCCTTTTGCATGATACACGTTTCCCAAATTGTAAAGAGCACGACCTTCCGAGAGTTTGTCTCCAAGTTGTCGCGCTAGGGTCAGATGACGATCGCAACAAATAGCAGCTTCATTAAATCTACCCATAACTTTCAAAGTGTTTCCTAAGTTTCCCGACGACTTAGCCTCGCCCAACTTGTCATTCATGGTACGAGCTAGTGTGAGATCAAGCTTATGATACTGCATGGCTTTGGTATAGTCTCCTAAATAGAAGTACGCATTTCCCAATTGAGAATAAATCGCGGACAAGGTACGCAAATCATTTGTGCCAGCTTGAATAGCGGCTTGAAAGAATGCCACACCTGAACGGCAGTCTCCAGATTTGCACAGCCGTTCACCTTCTAATGCTAGCTCCAGACACATACTTGAGCTTCCGTCTGATGCACCTGCACTTTGATCCATACCTCCGCCTGCTCCGGCRCTAGATACATTTTCTGCAGAGGCCGATAAAGAGGACATGACCCGTCCTTGCGACTTTCTTCACCTTGAGATTTAGTTTGCACAGCTAAGGTATTATTTAATAAAATCTATTCTAAGAAGTTTGTGCTTATCATTATTTTTTGTAGATCACTACAATTCAATTGGACTGTATTTAACTTTATGGAGTATAMGAAATTAGTTTTAGCCCTTGCTTTTTATATCACTACAATTGAAAATTTACAAAGAAATTATTCATGGCTTATGGTGTATAAAGCAAAGGATTTGTGGTGAACTTTCAGGGTTGTATTTAAAGTTTCGAAATAACTTATACAAAATTAGAAATTATTTTTTTTTTCGAAGGTAGTAATTATGCAATTTCTAGTAAGATAAATTAATTTGTAAATTTATAAAAACGATCATTAACGTTTGTTAACACTGTGTGCCCTGATTGCGTTATCATATTTACTAATACTAGGAATTTTGCTGGCCACCTTATTCAAAATAGCTTTAACTCACCACAAAATGGCCGTCCGAATAGCTCAATTTGTTGTTGCAACTCACCAAAGAACTGTCTCGGTACGCACAAATGACGAAAGTAGCTCAATATGTTCCATTTCTGAATCAGAGTGAACTAAAGGAAAAATTTGTAGAAACGTTCAAAGGCGCTGTCCGCAAATTCGTGTAATTTCTTACATTTATAGTAACGAAGTTTAATAAAATCGTAARACTAGTTGCTTGATGTATTTTCCTAAACATATTTGGTGAAATTTGTTAAATTTTTCCATAATATCGCCCCTTAAAGCGAATTGTAAAAGTTATAAATTGTGCTAACACGGAGAAAAATGCGAAGAAATTTTAACGGGAAGAAAAAGGTGTCCAGAGTTGCTCGGTCTACTTCGCAGCATTGTTGCTGTCGTTAGCGACGACGGTAGCTGAGGTTGTGTCTCTTTCGATTTTCTCGAGAGTGTAAAGGATTTTGTGAAAATAAATTTATTAAATTATTAGACGTTTGCTAAAAATAATATAATCGCTTAGTTGCGTTAAGACCAAATAAAACAAAATTTGTATTAAAACATACAGCCATAAAGGTGTGGAATCAAAAACTTTTGGTTTATATCAAAAATGAATTAATGTCGCCAGCAGCGCCGTTTCAACGTTTCGCTCGGGCGTTTTGACATTTGATGACATTTGCGCAGCAAAAGCGAGCGGTTGAGTATTTGCTTAAAGTGTGCAGTGGTTGAAGTGAAGCGCCCAACGAGGAATCGGCGAAAATCAATCGTTTTCATTGGCAAACAGGTATTATTGAATCGAAAAACGTCAAAAGTAAAGAAGACAATATTAAGAGATTATTATATTAAATAACAAAATTATACTTTAGTTTGCACTAATTTATTTAGAAACTCGTATTAAGAATATCCGCTCCTTTTTACAATTGAGAGCAGATAATATTTAATGAAAAATTTATTGTCGAATTTTGAGATGGATGAAATAGAAACAAAGATATAATAGTCCAACTGATTGTATTACAATGCGTCTGACAATGAATTGTTTGTTAACATATGTATATTTATGTTTGTACGTATACATATGTATATGCAAATGTTCCAACTTATCTGAATATGAAATCATTGTTCATTCCAAAAACCTCTCCAATGATTTTAGACTGACCTTATAATTTGATTGAATTTAGTTAAAATTGTTTTTTGTGTTAACAATMATATAAAATTTAACTAATCTCGCAATAATTAAGCAAAACACTTCCTTTTCAATAAAATAATATAATTTAAAACAGTAAAAAATTGTGGATAAGTCTGTGATGAAATAAGCTAATTTAACGATCTAAAAATGTTTATTATGAATATACCTACCAAACAGAATGAGTTATGCAATGATTTCAGATGATAGATGATATTCTCTTGTGATGTTAAGTGTACATTTCTCAAATACTACCATATTTTATGTGACTTGGTAATTGTCACAATTTTGTATATTAATATAGAGAACACAGAGTTTTCGTGCCCCAAAGTCATAATTTAATAGGTGCTTTTAGATTTTGCAATGTTTGAAGTTATTTAACATAATTGTAAAGGTTTCTTAATTAGCTGCAATCCTATAATACACATATGTTTACATAAACACTGCATATAGACCAAAAAGAAAAAGATCTTCATAAACTACAACAGTTATCAAAATTTTCAAATCGTCAATACTGAAAATGACATACATATATTTTAAACCTATTGGTGAAATCTTACTTTGTACCTAGTTGTTTTAATGTATTGTAAACAATTTTAAACTACACGCCTAAGAAGAAGACTACTATTATGAAATGAAATTTAATTTCATTCAAAGAGTTTTTCTTATCATGCTGGGTAGTTCTTAAAAAAAAAATAAATAGAAATAAAGCATTTTTGCACTGAGCTGCGCCGACAGATGGAAGAGGATAAAGCAATGTTACAATATAAAACGAGCAAAATGGAGGGAAAGCGAGTAAAACTATCAAAGTAACGAATAGTTGGGGTGCTAGTATAAAAATATATCCTTTATTTACGTATGTGCATTACTAATAATGAAAAATCGATCAAACTTTGAAAATAATTTAATTGTAATTGTTACAAAGTTATATTGTGTATAGGGAATATAATTTAATTTTGAGGTTTCTTTTTATCACATTGCGAGTGTTATTAAGAAAATTATATGACTATATGTTAGTTTGTGCAGAGAAATATAAAAAGTAATCTGGCAGCATTAGTTTTAGGCAATAACAAGCGAGTCGAAAAGAGAATTGAAACTAATTTTTTTTTTCCTTTTTATATATTGTCCAGGAGAGAAAGAAGGAGAAAGAATTAGGCGAACGAGCGAAAAGGCCTCATAACACATGTGCAGAACGAAAAAATTATTTCCTATATCGTTGTCGTCATTGTCGGTAAAACAGTGAAGAATAAATCTCTTTTCACGTATAATAGAGAAAATGTGTAGGAAAATATAATTAATTTTATTTTATTAAAATCACAAATCACGAAGTTTAGTTAGCTGCATCAATGTTAATTTTTAAGCGAAGMATTCCAAAGGCCGAGCAAAGTGAAAATGGCTTTGTAGCAATGCGTATACAAAAACTGAAGTTCAACCAGCTTTAACCAAAACGTAAGAATTTTTTGGTCTAAAAGAAGTGAAGTGCATTGGTAAAAATTTCGAGCGTTTTATATTTTATTAAAATAGGGGTTTTCTAGTTAAATTGAGTTTAATTATTTTTAGATTATTGATTATGTAGCATTTTTTCGTGTTTCTACGTCTTTCGTTCGTCGTTTTACTTTCATTCGTGAGTACGTATCATGTGCAGGCACGTGTGTTAGTGGGTTCGTGAATGTGTATTAATCTGCTAGTATGTGTACGTGATTTATTTCGATACGAAAAATATTAAAATTTCTCACAAAAATATTAAAAATAAACCGAAAGGCATGACATCAAACAGGAGCTATTATATTGAATTCCTTATGCTGGCGTTTTATGAAACACCTATCTTATGAAAATGTGTAAATATTTACATTATTATTTCGAAAATCAAATATCGAATAATTAAACATACATTTATTTTATTAAGGTGTAATTTCAAATCAATATTGGTAATGTAATAAATTATAGTGATGGTTTTCTCATTTATATGCATATATGAACATTTCGATATATGTATATATATATGGATATGTACAGCATGTAGCACATTGAAAAAAAAAAAAAAAAACTCACACGAACCTTATATTTTTATTTTCCACATAAATATAAATAAATTTCATTAACGATGACGATTAAACGTATATATTTTCCTTTTTTTTAAGTAGATAAACATATACATATATGTTGTAAAAAACTAACTTAATGCTAGATATTGTAAATACACGTTTACAATGTTATTTGACAGGACTGGTGCGTAGTAGTAAACTAYACATTCCTTTTGTTTTCTTACGTTTTAACGCTTATGTTCTGTTTGAAAAGCTAGTTATAGTACTTATATGTATATATGTGTGTTTATAAACGTACACATACTTCTAAGTTTGTTTCTCGCTTCGAATTAGATTAATACATTATTTGAAGTATGTAATACATAATATGCAAATTGTACATACATTACCAAATATAGCCATACCGCATCTGGGCTGTTTTGCACGGCCTATCATAAATTTATAATTATATCTTATCACTCATGCTGATGATTTGCTATCATTTTGAAAATTTCTTTAAATTAACACTTCATAGTATGTATTTTTTAAGCAGATAATAACTTTAGCGGAATGCACTGTTTACCTGCACTTACAAATGGAAGCAATTTTAATTCAGCCCAAAACACAATAAACATTTTTTCTAAATGTTAGCATTAAAAAATTTGCGTTCATTTGCTTAATCCATTCAAATGTACTAATTAAGTGACATGGAAAATAGTAGCAAATGGAAGTATACGTACATATATGTGTATTTACCTCACCTAAAGCCAATATTTAGTTGGATTTTTTTTATTATGTAGCACTTCAGTACATCGCTTCCGTATGTTTGGCTAGGACTTATGGTACTTTGTTGCAGTCAGTCTGTATTATTTTCCATAAAGAATATTTAGGTTTTCGTGCAGGTATTTTATAATTCGTCATAGATTTTCTTTGGCGTTTAGGTCCGGGCTTTCAACTAGCCAATCGGGCCAACGCCTGACGACATGAAACAACCGCACATAATCACAGTTTTTGTAGAGTACCTGGGTTAAGTTCTCGCAAAGGGGGTCGTCATACCTATGTTTTTTCTTCATATCCGAATACGTTGTTCACTCAAAACTACAAAATTCCACTCTTTAGAGTCCTTCCAGAAATGGTCTTTAGAAAATGCTTCTCGCTTTTCAATATTTTTTCACTCGAAACATGGCTGTCGCTTTCGTGCAAATTTGCGCTGATATTTGTTCACTATGATACTCCTCTATTTATGCCCTGATTTCTGTGGAAGTTAAAAACGGAACCGATTCACGCAGAACGGGTGGTCATTCTTGGCTTTTAATGTCGTAAATTTTCAAAGGCATTATTTTTTCATAACATTGAACAAGGTTATTAATTTGATTTAATGCCTCTTCTTGGCGACGATGACTATAAATATAGTTAAAATAAATTTTTCTTAGTAAAAAATAACAATATTGATGCAAATTGCAGCGGAAAAAAAATAAATTGGCCCTTTTCAAACAAAATAACTAAATTGTGTAAGCACACTTTTACAGGGAAGAAAT